AATCCATAGAAATTTTATATATTCATTCAATAAAACCTTGACTGCACTCGAAAATACCCGGTCATAAAGAATTTATTTGTTCTAAAACTCCCCTTCTCAATGCAATAACAACAACATGCATAAAGTGTCTGTATATCTAAGGAAATATAGATTCCATGTTACATTTCCTTTGACATTTGCATTGGTATATGTGGTAAAATGGCTTTATTCTATATTATGGAATATATGTGTTGTAAGGCTAGATTAAACTTTCATAACACAAAAAAATGTAGGGTTCACAATATCTTTTTACCACAAACACTAACTTACCTTGTATTATCTTGCTAATTAAGTCCAAGCATCTAGTTCACGTCTTTCAAGAAGAGAAGTCTGTTCGTTTACATTTTTGATCATATTCACTCGAAAAAACGTGGTCAAACTCGATAAAAACTCCGATCAAATCACTCCAAAAACACGATACCAGCCGGACACTATACCTACTGTGATTAGGTTATGTGTGCAAATAAACACAAACGTAAAAGAAATGTCAGTATCTTCACTCATTGGTAGATTTTAATTTTTTTTGATTTAAAAAAGAATTTTTAGAAAATATGTAAAGCTTGTATATCAAGGCATATTCTGAAGAACACTCCCTTGTCAACATACATTACAAAAAGATTTGTTTTGCAAGAAGAAGAGTGCTTCCAAAAGGGTAACATCTACATGTGCTTTAGACTCTTGAAAAACTTTATCTAATTGAAGAATACTTATTTTGAAACAAAAACAGATCAGATAGGGCACACACAATAAATACACAGACCAAAAGTAAAGCTCCAGAAAAAGTGGAAATGAATCATTTCAAAAATTGAAACACACCCATTTAAAGGAGTTTGTTTAAGGAATTCCTTGACAGTTATAATAGGTTACCAGTTGTTTGTGAGTAACCATATCAATGTGTTATTCAAATTTAACATATGTTTAAACACTGCGTTTAGTTCTCGGGTATATAGAATTACAACCACTGGATCGATGCCACTGCTAGTGGAGGTTTTCTCACAGAGAATATCACCAACCCAGGAGTCAGCACTTCTGTCTTGACATGAATATTATGGTCATAATTATAAATTAACTGTTTACTAAACTTTGAATTTTTCAAAATACTAAGGATTTACTAGTCAAAGTAAATATCTGCCATTGTCATTATTTCCCATGAAGTCAGTTTTATATTTCCATTTTTCCTTTATGTGCTATACATTTTATACTAAGGAAAGAGGAAAGCCATTCAGGAAGTGGTCAATTTGAGTAGGTCTTAAGAAAAGGTGTGCAAGTTAAGTTTGTTGATTGTGCATTTGTCTTTATCTCTTGTTTTCATGCCATGGAATTTTTCATTTTAAATCATACGTTATCTTTGGCACCCATATTTGTATTTGTTTTAAGTAAGAAGGCCAAATCAAATGATAATACAGACTTTACTTTTTTGTTCTTGTCTGTTTGTTTTATCAGCTCTTCAACGTTTATATAAGTTTTTGATTTCAATATTGTTCTGCCTCAAGCATTACTAAAGACATTAATTGTCGAAAAACGCATCTGGTGCAGTAAAATTGGTAGAGTTAATTTTGTATTTACTATTAGATTTTTTTTACTTCTGCAAGTGTACTGCTAGACCTCGAGAATATCAACAGCCCAGTATCTAGTATTTCGGTACTAGCATGAAAATACGGATATTGTTTTATTGAAATTTGTTGTCAAATAAATTTTGATATCATCTGAAATTAAGGAATGCATCTCCGTTTATATGCATTGATTTGATCCCTTGTTCGGGTTTTGTTTTACTTATGGTGCTTTGTATTTCATCAGTTCTTCAATGTTTGTATCAGTTTTTGAATTCCAAATATTATGCCCCGAGCATCCCTGATAAGACCTCAATTGTCGAAATACGCATCTGGTGCAGTAAAATTAGTACCGTTATTTTATTACTACCAATGGGTCGCTACCTCTGCTGATGGACTGTAATTCCCCGATGGTATCCCCGGCTGCTGCTAAGTTAAATCAACAGGTAAGGCATCACAAAATAGCGGATTGGTAATTGACTTTTATCTAACCCTAAGACATCACCAAATAAATAAACCTTCGGTTAACCCCAAAACTTTACCGACCGTGAAAGTTGAAATACAAGCAGGACAAAGGATAGACGAGACTGTTACCGGTATAAATAACACAGACATTGAAAAAAATAGAAAGAACAACACTTAACACTACAACAAGAGCAACACGGACCCTTTTAAAACAAAGCTTTGGGCGATTTAAGTTTCTGCGGAAGGGTGAGAAGATCCTGCTTCACATGTGGTACTCGTCTTGTTTTCCATGACAAAGGATAGACGAGACTGTTTCCAGTATAAACAACACAGACATTGAAAAAATAAAAAAGAACAACACTTGAAACTAGAACAAGATTAACACGGACCATTTTAAAACAAAACTAGGAGTAATTTAAAGTGCCCCGGAAGGGTAAGCAGATCCTGCTTCACATTTTGTACCCGTCGTGTGCTCATGTAATTACAAACCCGATGATAATACTAATTATACTAATTCAGTACGTCACATTCGAGGAAAATAGGGCGAGATTTTGGCTACGACTTTTGGAACATATCCGTCGTCATCTGTGAAACAAATATTCTATAACGGTCAACCAACTCGTGATGTCTCGTAACATTTTAAAAGGAATGATTTCAACTTCATCACATGAAACTCTTGGTTCGACAACTTCCTTGTAAACAGCAACCGTCTATCAAGGAAATAATGATAGGAAACACAAGCTATGGAATATCGTATCAACTGGGAGATATACACTGCATACTCCAGATGCAGTCGCTGCTCGAATATTCCTACAAGGAAATGGAAGGCTCACAATTGGGACGCTGGAGTGTACCTCATTAATATAAAGTTTTCCCCCCTGGCTGTGTTTGGCTTTAACTTATGTCCTTTTTCGTTTTATCACCCCTTCAAGGTTTGTATTAGTTTTGTTGTTTCTAATAATTTTTTCTCGAGCATTACTGAAGAGAATGTAAGATTGTCGAAATGCCCATCTTGTGCAGTAGAACCTCTAATTATTTAAATACAGTTTAGTTTCTTAGTTAAAAATATTGTTGTTTTTTTTATTTAAAGCCATGGTTTACTAATTAATCTTATCTTTATACCAGATTATGTGTGTGTATTAAGTCGCTAGACTGCGAATGGACGAAAACTATAATAAATCACTGGCTTTCAAATTTTCGGCTTTGGCATTTCTGAAGAAGGAAGGTAAATCCTGAAAAGCGCTATGGACACATAAAATCTAGTCGGAACGACTGGAAAACAACTGTCATATTCCTGACGTAATTTAAAAATTGCTAAATTAATTAAGAATCAGTTGATGTTCAAAACAATTATACGTTGTTTTTTTAGAAAAAAATCTAGATTATTTACAGAGAACAAATCGTTTAAATATCTGAAAGTACTGTAAAAATATCTAACAATTGGTGCTTATATTGGTTTTTATGGAGTTTTAATTCATCATAGTAACTGAATCTGCAATTAGCGGGGCACATTTTGTCCTCATTGGAAAACCAAGCATTATTTGTAGGAAACCTTATCGTCAAACAAATATTGATATTATCAAGCAATAACATAATGGCTTTGCATGACCAGTTAGTGTATTCTTGTAGGGCTTGTTGTACTAAACAGCAATTGTTTGGATTGAAACAGCAATTAAAGAAGGAATAAACACGTAAGAGTATTAAAAAGGTAATAGTTAATTTACACGCAAGACATAAATAGCGTGAGTCAAAAGATATGTATGTTTTACATATACAATTTGGAATTGACCATATTCATTCAAGCGTAGAAATAGACTTGCATTGTATATACATGTACATGAAGTGTTTCGTCGTGTGACTCAACTGCAATACTCTCATTACTTGCTTCTAAAACTGTACATATATCGGTTCGTCTGAGTTGTGTTCTTACAAACGTTAATGAACTGGTTATAAAATACTTTGACAATTTTGAAGCTAATAGAGGTATCAACTATTTCTGGAGTTTTAAAAAACTCTTTGGAAGTCTTGGATAAACTACAATGTACGCTTGAATTGAAATCATTTTGTCTCCCGGGATAATGAATAATATAGACTACCACACAATCTTATGCAGGGAAATTTTCCTAATTAAAAAAATGGTCTTTCAATAAATTTTAGTGCAACTATTATATTCGGTATTATCACATTTCTCTAGAAAATTTGTTAAAAATTTTCCTTTTAACCAATTACATTCTTAATAATACTCCGATTAAATCTAACTTGTCTTCTTTTATGCTATTTCTTTCGGATTTTAATCATTCTTTGGTAGATTGCTACTTTCAGAAACCCGTGTCAGTGTTTTATCTCTTTTTAACCATTTCAATAATCGATCTCGTAGTGATTTTGAGAAATGCATGCTGGGAGTAGCCTTACGGTCATTTATTATTAAAACTCCTTGGTGAAAAACGGAACATATTTATCGTGTTTTGGCGTGTTTTGGCACAATTGTAACTTAAATCAGTACTTTCTGTAAAAAATTGCCTTACATTTGTATGTTTGATGCTTCGATACTGACATGATTTTTAACAAACCTTTTTAAATTGTTCGTTTATATATTTATAAATTATCAATAAAATAAAGTTTAAACTCCCTCAACCAAAACTGACCTTAGATAGATTTGGCAATTATTCTAAGTCCTTTTTGGTCATTTAGCTCTTCAACTGTTTCGGTTCTTGTACATCATTGGCTTTTAAATATTCGGCTTTGAGCATTTATGATGAAGGTTAATACAGAAAAGCGCGAATGCAATTTATAAAGTGTTGTTTCCTTTTTTTTTTTTTTTTTTTAAATATTAATGTTTCCGTTAGTGAAAATAACGAGGTCAATTTATCAATTTTGTTATTTGAAATATTTCCTTTTATAAACAAAGAAATTATAAATTGACATAGGAAATCATAATCAGTTATAAATAGCCATTTTAGATATAAAAATGTTTTTACAATGTATTGCGATATATATTGTACTTTTTTGTGGAATTAAGACTTGCAGAATACCAAATCAGTAAGTGTTATTGATGTAATTCGTTGACGTAATATAAAAGGTACAGCTAATTTCCTCAGAATTTAAAATTAATAAGGTATCCGTGCTTTATTTATGTACTTAGAGGTGCTAGTATCATGATGGCGTATTTCTGATTATGTCATTGAACCATATTTGCATAATTAGGGCGAAACTTTTAAAATGTTTAACTGTTTCTCTAGAAATGAATAAGAATGTTATGTCTTATAAAAAATGGTCTGTATCAAAACAATACTTTGTTCTGTTTTCTTCATATACACATAAGTTATTTGGTTTCGGATATTCTTCGATTCAGAACTTCAAACAACAAATGACAACAAAACTTTATAAATTTCATGCGTCAAAAGGACTTTTCTGTACTTACCCTCATCAGGAACGCTCAAAGGCAAATATTTAAAAGCCGATGATGTATAACAAAATGTACATTTTGAATAGTGTATGAAAATTGTCAACCGCAATGTGCCTGACCATTATTTTAAATTTTGAAATCTATTATCTGTATTATTCAATATTCAAATTCCAACAATTTGAATAGCTAATTGACCCTTATATTAAATATCATTAAAATAAATACAGTAGAAATTCAACATGTATACCTTATATATATCAGAATTCTATTTATACAGCCTGTGACTGCTGTCATTTTATTTTAGCTAAATTCGTGTTTTTTTTTAATTTTATAGATTTCACTAAAAATAATTTGGGAATATAATTGTAGTAATTCAAAGCCTAGAATTTTGCATATGCATGAAGTCAACAAACATAGAGGACATTTATTCATAATTGCAGTTTTCATTTCGACTTATAAAATCCGAGGTTTTAGGACTATCCTAAGACCATCCTAAGACAAATCATTTGTAGCTTTCCTAACTTTAAGACAAAATTAAGGACCCATCTTATCTTAGGCTTTCGTTAGTCTGACTTAAGACAATGACAAGTCCTAAGACAATTCTATAACATGTCATATTCATAAGACAGCTGTGTTGGTATGACACCTTATATAAACTCACTAATTACTCTTTTACTGTTTATGATCTACTAAAACTAAGTATTTTAATCAAAACCTAATTGAACATCCTTTCTAAATAATATATCTAAAAAAAACTATTTTGTTATTCAACCGTCTTTAATTTTGTTGTTGTTGTATATATATATTAATTTTCTGATAGTAATGATAATGGTACATCTAGTTGTTGTGGAAACCATCAAGAAATAAATGGTGTTTGTAAAGGTATGTACCCGTAAATACTTTATTATCGATATCCCAAAACCAGAGTGCAGAGGTAAATTAATAATAGTGTGTCATATATTTACTTTATCTTAGTCCGCCTTGGTTCACTATTTGTAAAATAATAATTTATGGCACACAAATTAAACATCACCATAGATAGGGTTGTTTTATGTTGCTTACAACAAAGACACTCTTCGAACAAATTTTGACTTTGTTTAGAAGTAGTATTGGCATTGAAATTACGTCATATTGTACAAACCACCTTAGTTGTTTTATTGCATTAATGGTCGTTGGTTCTATCCTCGGAAGGGTTCAAGAAAAGACTTTTAAACTGATATTTAATACTTTTCTGTAAGGCATGCAGCAGCTATGATATACAGAAAAAAAATAGTAGGATGGTCGTAAGAAAATTGTGGTCGGGAGTAAAAGCATATCATCCTGCAGACTGTTACTTATTAGTTAAAACTTTGGAAATTTGCGGCTGGACATTAAGCCTCCATTTATCCAACAATAAATCAGTCGTATGATTTATTTCATTAATATAAAATTTGAAATATTTGATTTGGCTTCTAACTGGTTTCATTCAAGTACTACTGATGAGTATTGTACAGACAAAACGCGCGTCTGGTATGCCAATTTATAAGCCTGGAATATTTTATGCGTTTTTCAAGCAAAATTATAACGGCAAACTTCAATGAAACAATTTCCGTATTTTCATGTCTGGACCCAAGTACTCGCTACTGGGTTGTTGATACCCTTGGTGACTAATAATTCATCAGTAAAGGTGACGAGCAAGTCGTAGTAATAACATTTGAAGTAGGAGTTTTACTGCACGAAATGCACATTTTGTACAATAACTCTTTCTTCAGTAATGCTCATGGCCATATTATTAGAAATATAAATCTAATATAAATTCGAAGAAACAGTATAGTGTTTCATTTAAGTTCATTAAACGTTGAAAAATTGATAAAACAAAAAGAACAAAAGTTAAATCCAAACTCTGACAAGTAACCAAAGATATGCACGAGGGAGGTACATTCCTAGTAAAACTCATTTTCAAAATTTGATAATAGCAAATTTCAATAAACTTACTCGTTTAATTCGAATGCCATTGTTGAGTTTACTATAGACGAAACGCACGTCTGGTTGCAAAAGTTTAAATATGAAAATAAGAAGATGTGGCATGATTGCCAATGAGACAACTCTCCACCAGAAGCATGTTATCATTTATGAGTGTTTTGATGCCGGTACTGAAGTACTAGCTAATGGGCTAGTTATACCCTCGAGGACTAATAGCCATCAACAGAGGTCTGAACCCAGTTGTAGTAATAACATACACAGTATCAATGTAACTTCAATTAACATCTCATCAGTGACGCTCGAGGCCAACTATATTAGAAAATCTAAAACTGATACACACGTGTTAAGGAACTGATAAAATACAAAAGGACCAAAAGTAAAGCAAAATTCGAAAAAGAAATAACTGCTATGCACGCAGGAGAAACATTCCTAAACTTGAGTGATTTCCCCAAAACTGCAACAGTAAATTTCAACAAAAAAATATTCTGATGTTCATGCCAATTCCGACGAACTGGATACTAGGCTGGTGATATCCTTGGGGCTGACTGTTTATCAGCAGAGATCTTGACTCAGTGGTAGAAAAAGTATAAGCAGTACAAATTTAACTGGATCAGATGCGTATTTTGACAATTAATGTTGCTTTTAGTTTTCATCCGTATGTAAAATAATTACACCTGACAGGAGAATACGTTGACAGAATTCAGAAAAGGGTTTTGGCAATTGACGTTTAAAAATAAAAACTTTTAATTCAATGAGAACAAACAACTTTAACAAGTTAAATGTTTACTTTTATTTACTACGCAATATACATGCGCACGCGTGTTTGAGTTTCTCCCTTTTTGAACAAGTACAAAATTAGATTCTTAATTACAAAGCATACAGATGTATAACTTGTTTTACTTTTTGTTTTATTTCAGTATGCCCTCCAGGTTATATTGGATCAAACGGGAAATGCGAAACGCCGTGTCCTTGGGGATATTACGGAATAGAATGTCAGCACATATGTAACTGTAGTTATGATAAACGGTAAAAATTACGCAAAAAGGATAATATTATTTTTCAAAAATACTTGACAGTAAAACAGATCACACCAACCACTAACGGATTATTTAAAATTTGAATTGTAACTCATGGAACGAGACAATATAACTAGTTATTTTAAAAGATTTCGATAAATTCCATAAAGTCTAAATCAAACTGAGTTGATGCAACTTACATGGTAATATATATATATATATATTTTTTATCTATTTACATTAACCTTCTAAAAAATTGTAACGCATTTTGACAATGAATTTGTTAAGTTGCAGGTTTTTTTAGAAATCACGTATATTTTGTTGTTGTAAAAAAAAAACACACGATATCGTGATTGTACTTGATGCACTATATATTTGTATTCCGAAAATTTATTTCTCGTCATGGGTGCTTAAAACAGAAAAATCGGAAACCAATATTATGAGAAAAAGTGAAGCCGTAAAGCTTAAATGTACGCGCAATAGAGACAAAAGTCAGTTTAGGAATGCTTGTGAATCTGGAAGATACATTTTTGTAAATATAGAATTTTACAAATAATTGCATTTTTTTTTACAGATAATTTTTTAATCATCAATTTATAGATAATAACAAATGCGTTTTTTACCTTTTTATGCTACACTAGGGGACTTATGGCATCTACCAAGTAATACACAATTATGATGTCAATATTGATATCAAAGTGATGTCATACCAGTACATAAGCTACCGATTGTGGTAGTAATCTCTGGGGAAAAAAACGACAACAATAGGGCTGACCAAACACCGCATAAAGACAGACAACACCGTGGCAAATAGAAAGAAGGACGACAAGACAACAGTTCTATCTTAAATAATTTTAAGACTGAATATCACGAAAGCCATCAACTACTCCATTAGTGATAGGCGTCGTATTGCTTATGTCGAGAAAATTTTTTGGGATAAGTCACATTTCGTCGTGGAAAAGAGGACGATATTGTGCACTACCAAGAATTTACCCACGTTTTTTTGGTACATTTCTACCCTCGTACATATCAGTACTGTTTGGTGAGACTAAAAATTTGTAATGTTATACTTTCTATTATTTCAGTACTGTTCATTATTATACAATAACTGTACCGTAACTAATTCTATAAATTCAGTACTGTTTTTTTCAGTACTGATTTCGTCAGTACTGTTTCAGTACTGATTTTGATGGTACTGTTTCAGTACTGATTTTGTCAGTAGTGTTTCAGTACTGATTTTGTCAGTATTGTTTCAGTACTGATTTTGTCAGTACTAGTTCAGTACTGACTTCGTCAGTAATGTTTCAGTACTGATTTTGTCAGTAATGTTTCTGTACTGATTTTGTCAGTAATGTTTCAGTACTTATTTTGTCAGTATTGTAATTGTACCGATTTTATTAGTACTATTATTGTTCTGATGTTTGTCATTTACTTTTTTAGTAAATACTTACTTTTCAGTGCGCACCTTATCCATATATCAAAAATAGTTGTTTCTTTAGGTATAGCTGTAGCAGTCGATTTGGTGTGGTTTATCTTTTTAATCTGAATGCATATTGTTTCAAAAAATATTGGGAACTGAAAACTTATAAACTAAGTAAGTATAGTATGGTATATTGTGACATGTTGATGACTCTTTTTTATTTTTTTTATATTTTGTATCTTGTGTAGACATCGCTGATTCAGTGTTGACCTCTATCATTAGAGAAATTTTGACACATGTGCATCTGAGTACAATTGGTATCCAAAAATAGGTTGGATAATTCTGTGACTATATTATTATAATCCTTGTTTAGCTGGTTACATATTAAAACTGATGGTTTTTCTCTTCGACTATATCACTCTGCTGAGCAGGACTTTTTAGCGACGTGAAAATGACTGAGGAAAAGTATCAAGCTTACTTTCGTCTATCAAAAAACTATTGAAGTGAAGGGAAAAACAACAAAAATGAAGCAAGATAAGCAGTTTATCGGTTTTTCTCAAGGGAATTGTTTACCCTTTAGAAGCACATGAATTCATTCCCGGTTTTTAGTCGAGTTGGTGTTGTTTCTTTTTATATATTTTAACTGTTGTTGTAAATGCACTTTGGTTTTATGAGTCTTTGTTTACTCCTTGATTTTCATTGCGACTGTCTTTCTGTGTTTAAAAAAAAATACGCAATCGACACCAGAGAGATTTACATTGTGGTTCGAGTCTGATATTTTACAATATCAATGTGTATAAAACCGCACAATTTATACAAATATCTAACAAGATAAGAATCTTCAATACTGTTCATTTTTTGGTATTTTGCTATTGCTTAAAACATGTTGACATTAATGATTCCATATCTTAATATGTTAGGCAATGTATTGTAATTAACATAAAACAATGTCTCATCTCCTTTTTTTTTTATCATAACTGGAATTTCTTTTATTTATCATAACAATTGTTTTAATATAACCATCTTTATTGTCAAATAAACATATGAAGTCTGTGACAAAAATGTCAATCATTTTCATGCCGATAATTTGTAAAGTTGCAAATGATTTTTCTTTCATATTTTCCTTTCAGAGTAAGAATACTTGAAATACTGGGATTATTATTATTATGAGAAAATTAAGATAATGCCTTTACCAAGTTAAGAATATGACGGTTGTTTTCCATTCGTTCTGCTATTTGATGTGCTTGAGCGTTTGGTTTTGCCAGATGTTTATGAAATTTCCCCGCTTTTTAAAATTTTTCAGAGTTCAGTATTGTTGTAATCTACTTTTAGAAACATAGTTTGTAATCTTGATTTTTAGCAGCAGCAGACTTTATTTCATATGGATGTACCAGTGACATTTAAGTTTTTTTTTATTTATGTAAAAGCTGGCAAACATGGCGTATTCTTGCTATGTAGCAAGTTTTTGGTGAATTTGAAAACAATTTTTCATAAAATATTGCCTGCAAGCACCACTACATTTTTTTTTATATAACGGTGGAATAAGATTTGCACATTTTAAATTATTTAAAGAATATTTCTGTTGATATATATTAAGTACAAAATATAGTTAAATTCAGCAGAAACTTAGGCTACAATTGTACTATATAACCCCTTGATTATTTTATGACCCTTGTAATTAAGGTTCATAAATAAAACAATCAAAGAAACACTTAATTTTGCTTGTATCATGTTTTATTGCTCTCCCCCCTTTGCCATCTTTTCTTTAGAATGCTTTATAGAATGTCAGTTTCCTGGCTGGTGTCTTTTCCTCAATTCAGTCTCACATATGATGTGTCTTGCTACATGTAGATTGGTAATTCCAGAGGACTCACCTAGTTCTAATATGAGCTCATTACAAGCATCCATCTTTTATGTTTTGGTACTTGTACGAAACTCGGAATTACATGGTTTATGATTAAATATTGTCTTTTCTGATGAATGCATATTGAAATACATCCTTCTGTATATAGGTCTTTAATTTTCACATCGTACGTTCCCATTTCAGCGGCTGTCTTCTATGCTGTTAATCATTCTGATAATTTATTCCTGAATAAAAAAAGCAAAATATGATAATTAAATCTATCAACCTCGAAGTATTGGTGTTTGCCAGTGACAAATATTTCATGCACATGTAGCTTTAACCATCAGTCTATTTATGTGCTCTTTATAATAATTATAACATGTCAAAAGTTTGCAGTTGATGATTAAAATGGTGTAGAAAGTTTCTGCAAGTCATAAAAACACATAATTAGTTTCATGATATGTCTTCAACTTAGTATTTTGCACCATCTCCAAAACCAGAGTGGTCGCATAGATCCAGCATGGCTGAATAAAAAAATCCAAAAGTAACTAAAATGTTATTGTAAAACATTTCAAACAAGAAAAAATAATAAACAATATATAGCAGTCAATGTGGCGGGATTATATAAGTTTGTTGGCACCTGGGACAATGGTGGACTAATATCAAAATGTATCACAAATAAATGAAGCATAGTAAAAAAATCCGGTCAAAATAGGAACAAGTGGGATCGGGACAGAAGAGAAAGAAGTGGGAAGTGGGAAAAGATCGGAAAAAAATACTGTGTGACAAAAACACAGGATTTGAGGAAACGAGCATGTGTCGGTCGGATCCAGCAATTTTTAAAAAGGGGATCTAAATCAGGAGATAGGGTTCCCAAATTTATTTTCCCTTTCAAATGCATTAATCGCCAAAAAAAAGGGGGTTCCAACCCTCGGACCCCTCCCCCTGGATCCGCCGATGCCCACCCCCCTTTTCCTTATCATATGTTCAGAAACATTCAGGATTTATAAATCTCAAATATTAAGTATTGATTGATATTATTTCATAACGTTTGGTCAAGTAGTAATAATATGAATATTCAAAACAACCCACGATTTAGCGTCTCCATTAATATTTTACAAATGCCATGGCATTAATTTTGGCATTTACAGAAATTTCTGTAACCAGGGGCGGATCAAGCCATTTTTAAAAGAGGTTTCCCAACACTGGATAAAAGGTTAGGGGCGGGGGTTCCAACTATATGTCCCCATTCAAATTCATTATTCGTCCCATAAAAGGGGGGAGGGTTTCATGATATGTCTTCAATTTAGTATTTTGCACACAAATTAAACATCACCATAGATAGGGTTGTTTTATGTTGCTTACAACAAAGACACTCTTCGAACAAATTTTGACTTTGTTTAGAAGTAGTATTGGCATTGAAATTACGTCATATTGTACAAACCACCTTGGTTGTTTTATTGCATTAATGGTCGTTGGTTCTATCCTCGGAAGGGTTCAAGAAAAGATTTTTAAACAATAAATGATGTCATGAAATCCAATCACATGAACGTAGGCAATTGTAATACTATGTTCAATATTAACCCTCTTGCTGCCAAAGGGACATTTATGGCTTCTACACACAAATCTTGTTGATTGTGTAGAACGTCAAAGGTCCATAGTAACGCCTAGATCCGCCAATGTGTAACGCGTATTTTCCTACTTAGGATATGTGTTTAAAATTAGCCATGCGACAATTTTCTCAGTT